GATGACCAAATGTGTGTTTACAGGACACTGCACAGCTTTTTATTGGGGAAGCAGGAAACATACAATGTGTGACATTTCAAATAGGTGCTGATGGAAAAGAGAAGTTTGAGAGACAAAGAAGGGGACAAGAGCATTTTAAGTGGAAGCCCAGAAGAGAGAAAGAGAGAATGCTTGGAGAGTTATGGCAGGAGGTGAGAAAATCAAGGCACAATGATGAAGGCTCTTGCATTCATTTCCTAGGGCTGCTGTAACACATTACCACAAATATGGTGACTTGAAACAACATAAATTTATTCTCTGACAGTTCTGGAGGCCAGAACTCCAAAATCAAGGCATTGAGAAGATTGATTTTTTTCTGAGAGAATCTGTTTCACACTTCTCTCCTAGGATGAGGTGGCCTCCAATAATCCTTGATATTCCTTGGCTTGTAGACCCGTCGCTCCATCTGTACCTCAGTCTTCATACCACCCTCTCCTCTGTGTGTCTCTGTGTCTTCTCTTTTGTACATATAAGGAAAAGTATCACTGGATTTAGAACCTACCCGAAATCCAGGATGATCTTATCTTGAGATCCTTAACTTAATTACATCTGCAAAGACCCTCTTCCAAGTAAGGTGACATTCACAGATTCTGATGGACATATCTTTATGGAGCTGCAGTTTGACGCATTACATGCCTTTTGACAAGGCCTTAATGTGCCATTTTTATGTTTGTTATGTGGAAGTTGATACTGGTTGGTAGAGGATGGACAGATAATGAAGGCTTGAATTAATGAAGCAGGCTTGGAGAAGAAAGCTGTATTTAAACATAAATTTCCACAGTAAAATATACAGGATTGAGTGATTTCAGGTGGGCAGGAATGAGAGTGATCTTGGAGATAAGAAGTTTGACGTGCTTGTGAAACATTTAGGAGCAAATATTTTGCAGTAGTGGCATAATCATGCCACTGCACTTTTTTGGGAAGTGGAGTGAGACTCTGTCTCACAAAAGAAAGAAAGAAAGGCAAGAAAAAGAAAGAAAGAGAAAGAGAGAAAGAAAAAGAAAAGAAAAAAGAAGGGGGGCTCTGGGGTTCAGGAGAGAGTTTGTGTGAGTTGTTAGATGAGTGGCTCTCGGTTAACCACACCTGTGAGTATTCCTGTCCCTTTCCCTCTCTCAACTGATGTTGCACTTGGCTATATAATTGGCTTTGACCAGTGGGACATTAACAAGTATTATACAGATGTAATAGGCTCTTGCATATTGGACTTATCCTCTTGCAACACCTGCTCTTGAAACCCAGCTGCCATGTTGTAATGAAGGACAGGTTATCCTACTGGAAACAGAAGCCATGTAAAGAAGACCTGGAAAATGAGCTACAATGTGGAAAGAGGCCTCTTGGAGAAGAACTGAGTAGCCTCAGCCACAAGTCAGCACTGAGGCCCTAGATACATACAAGAGGCCTTCCTGGACCTTTGAGCATAGTCCAGCTGCCGGCTGAATGCAGCCAAATGAGTGACTTCAGCCAATACCAAGTGAAAGAGAAGAACCACTAGTTATCCTACAGAATTGTGAATAGGAAAATCATTGTTTTAAGTAACCAAGCTTTCAGTTGCCCTTTACATATTTGATCAGGCTCACTGGTCACAACGTAAAAGTCAGTAATGTCTGTTTTAGGAGATGAATGATTAGGAGGCAAATTTAGGAAACAGAAGTTGATTGGGCTTTAAAAGGTTAATACCAAGTTGTGAGATATTGGTAAGGGTGGGATGGAACCATGAGTAGATCAGAGGTTAGCCTGGCGGACGTCTTTGGAGGAGTTATGTGTCTGCTCTAATTTTCAATGTAACCATTAGCAAAATGTGGAAAGTGTAGTATTCGATAAACTATAAGGTTCCATCCAGTACTAGAATGTAATGGGTCCCCTTTGGAATAACAAAAGTTATCTTTCCTGCCAGCCAATGTTCTGCATATTGAAAGTACTCAATAAATGCTAATTGGCCATGATAAAGAAATGAATACTTCGATTAAAAAGGAACCCCTTATTCTTGAAAAATACAAATAGGACGACTCCTTTATCTTCTTTAATAAGAGGCTACTTGGACAATATTTACAGCTTGGTAGAGATGAGAAAGGGTAGATGGAGAAGCCTACAGAGCCTCTTCCTTGCTCTGAGTGATCTGTCTTCACAGTATCATACTTTTCCAGGTGTGATAGTGCCCTGGGGGATTCTATTGACTGCATAGTATCTTCACAATGTCATAACCTTTCAGGTTTGATGGCTTGTGCCTGAGGGGGCTCTATTGACTGCAGTTGTTGTCATAGAGTGTATTATAGATAGTTTTGATGGAATTAGCAGATAAGCAGAAGAGGGCAGAATTACACAGAAAATTATTTGGGGCTATATTTCCTACAGGGAAATATATTTTTATTTTATTTACCAAGGGAACACTTTCAAGGTTCCACATTGGGCCATTCTTTCCTAATGGGGCCTTTTCCATTATTTCCTAAAGGAACCTCTTCAAGATTCTATATAGGACCAAGTATCTCCCTTTCACCCCTCCAGATCTTATATAGATCCTCCTGTGTCCCCTCCTACTCTTTTCCCAGTGAGGATGAGCTATCAATAGGCTCCAATACCTTCTGGCATATATCTGGTCACTGATAGGAGGGAGAGAAAAGAGTGAGTTCAAGCTATTATTAATATTTATTCCTAATATCCCTTCTTTAAAGTTAGCTTAAGCTGTTGATGCCTTTTTTTCTGAGACAGAGTCTTACTCCATTGCCCATGCTGGAGTGCAGTGGCACGATCTTGGCTCACTGCAACCTCAGCCTCCCAGGTTCAAGCAGTTCTCCTACCTCAGCCTTTCGAGTAGCTGGGATTACAGATTTGTGCCACCACACTCAGCTAATTTTTTGTCTTTTTAGTAGAGACAGGATTTCACTATGTTGGCCAGGCTTGCCTTGAACTCCTGACTCAAGTGATCTGCCCACCTTAGCCTCCCAAACTGCTGGGACTACAGGCATGAGCCAACACACCTGGCCTGTTGATGCCGTTTGATGGGCTTTCACTGCCCCCCTCAAGACAGTACTCACTATCCAATCCTCCTTCCTTCCAAGTCCTAGTAACTTTTTCCTCCTTTTCCCCTTATCTGTAGGAGTGGCAACTTCTCTACTGCTGTGAGCCCCAGGTTTCTTCACTATCCCTGTGGTTTATCTATATTCTACCTTTGTAATTGGTTCCTTTGTAAATTAATCTTCTTGGAATTTGAGTGTGCTCTTTCATGTTAGGACTGTGACTAATACACATACCATTCTGCAGATTGAGAATGAAGATAAACGGCAGTGTGGTCACACCAACACACATCTTATTATCAGCCCTCCATCACTAGCCCTCTGGACTATCTTATATGTGCTGTTTGTCACTTTCTCATTTTCTTCCCCAACCATTAACTTAGTGATCTCAGATACCAAGCAGGAGAACATGGCTACAGCCGATTCAAAACCAAGCCCAAAATGTTTAATTCACTTTTTTGGATTTCTCTTCTATTGCTTTCCTTATCCTTCCCAGTATTATTATCTATTCTCACTTCTCTTGGTACTGTAGACTGAGATCTTCAGTCAAAAGCACAGGTTTTTGTCTTGGTCTTCTTTTGTCCCCAGAGCCTGGAACATGATAAATGCTTAACAACTGCGTGTATAATGAATACATGGAAGATGGAATTAAGGAAGTGTCTTTATTAAGCTTTCTGTTTCTAGGAATCCCAGGGTTGGTCTACTTCTCCCCCTTCCCTGAGAAGCTCGTTACTTCATTTCCATCAGATCTCTCCTCAGTGCTTTTCTTGTCTCCATACACAACACTGCTGCTCTATTATAACAAGTCTCAGGGTAGTAAATGTTCTTTGTTGTTGTTGTCTTATAACAGCTTTATTGAAATATAACTTACCATACAATTCATTCAATTAAATGTGCAATTCAATGAATTTCAGCATATTCAGATTGTGCAACTATCACCACAATCAATTTAGAAGACTTATTACCCTACCCCCCAAAAAACTCATACACATTAGCAGTCATCCCCTTCCTCTCCATCTAGAAAGTAATCTACTTTCTGTCTGTATGGATTTGTCTATTCTGGACATTTCCTATAAATGAAATTTTACAATATGTGGTTATTTGTGAGTGGCTTCTTGACTTTGCATGATATTTTTAAGCTTCTTTCAAGTAGTAGCACATATCAGTGCTTCATTCCATTCTATGGTTGAGTAATATTCCATTGTATGGATATATCACGTTTTATTTGCCTATTCCTCAACTGATGGACATTTAGATAGCTTTCACTGCATATCGGTAAATATTTAACAATTAGCAGTCCATTAAAAAAACCCTGACACATAACATTTGCTGTTTCCATGGTATAAACATTCCCATTGTGACTGATTGCAAGCTACATGATGTGACTGAACACAGAATTGGAAAGAGATTTTAAACTAGGCGCTTGTGAGTCCTTATAAGCCAGTTTCAACATATCACTAACCGTCTTTACTGAGAGATCACTCAAGTGACCAGAGACGTGGCTACATGCAGTAAAGTTTCCATACACCATTACCTAATAATAATAATAATAATAATAAAAGTAATACAACAGCTAAGATTTACTGGGCACTTTTTATGTACCAGGCATTATGCTAAACATTTTTTTTTTTCTTTTTAAATCTTGATCACCACTCACCTTTTGGAAACTAGCAGCTCCAAATTACCAGGATTCTAAGCTTGGTTTACTGTCTCTTAGCTGGTCTCCCTGCTGTTTATTAAATACTCCGAACTCTTCAGGACTTGCTTCCTCTACCTGGTAAACTCTTCTGGACAAGGAAGGATGACTGTACTGTGTTTCGCACCCTTCCTCCATGTAATCTACCCCTGCCTCAGGTACATGAATTTGGTTAAAGTCATGAATTGCTCTCATAGGAAACTTTATTTGCTATTTTCGGGGAAATGAAATTCCATTAATATTTACTGAACACCCACAAGGCGCTGGGCAGTGTTAGCTAGTCCCAAGAATCCTGGGAACCAACAATCCACAGTCATATCCCAGAAAAACAACCCTGCCTGTCTCTGAGGGTAAACTACACCCTCGATTCCTCGGAATCCGCTTCAGTTCGGATTCCTGCAAAACCAACGCTACTGTCTCGGCCTCCCACTGGGCTCCCGCTGGGGCCTCCTTGAAACGCTAAAGGATTAAGCGGCGGTGAGTAGGGAGGGTGAGTAGGCGGAGGTAAGGGAGCAAGAAGCGGGGAAGGAACAAGGTGCGCCTCCCTCTTCTAATCTTGTTCGAATCAGGAGTCCTGTACCCAGGCGCCGATTCCAGCCGTCCAGAGACTCTTCCAGGAACCGCTTGGCAGCCTGGGCCGTGGACTTTGGCTGGTGTGGCGTCCGCTGCTCCCTCCTCCCCTCTCCTCCCTCCAGGCTCCGTGCCTCACTCAGGGGCGTGTCCTGCCCTACCTCCCTGTCACAGTGGTCCACTTAACCGGTTACAGCAGCAGTTCCAGCGGCAGCGGCGGCAGCCGGAGCAGGAGCAGCGATAGCTTCGGTTTCCAGAGCAGGAGCTGGGGCAGCAGCAGCAGCTCAGTGCCGAGCACCTGTGCGAAGCAGGAGTAGCAGGACCAGGGGGTGGGGTCGGTGCCAGCCACTCTGAGCCAGAGAAGGAAGGGGCACCTCCCGGCCGTGATTCCACTGCTGGGAATAATCTCCAGGGAAGGTGGCACTGAACTGGGAATACTTACTGGTGGGGGTAAACATGTGCAGGAACAGCTAGAGGCCTCGCGACAGGTAAACATTTGGCCCACGAGTAGATAGGCAAGGAAAGCTGTCTGGGACCATGGCAGCTTCCTTCCTGGACTTTGAGGAGGTGGAAACTTTCCTGGACAGGCACCCAGAGTTGTTTGAAGATTACTTGATGCGGAAGGGGAAGCAAGAGATGGTTGAAAAGTGGCTGCAGAGGCACAGTCAGGGTCAGGGGGCTTTAGGTCCAAGGCCCTCTTTGGCTGGTACCAGCAGCTTGGTTCACAGCACCGGCAGAGGTGGCAGCAGCGTTGGTGGTGGAACTGGTCCAAATGCCTCTGCCCACAGCCAGCCCCTTCCTGGTGGTGGGGACTGTGGTGGGGTTCCCCTGAGTCCCAGCTGGGCCAGTGGCAGCAGGGGCAATGCGAACCAGCAGCGGAGAGCTTCTCAGAAGGAGCTAAGGAAGAGTTTTGCCCGCTCCAAGGCCATCCACGTGAACAGGACCTACGATGAACAGGTGACCTCCCGGGCTCAGGAACCCCTGAGCAGTGTACGACGGAGGGCACTTCTCCGGAAGGCCAGCTCCCTGCCCCCAACCACAGCCCATATTCTCAGTGCGCTGCTGGAATCGAGAGTGAATCTGCCTCAGTATCCCCCTACAGCCATCGACTACAAGTGCCACCTGAAAAAACATAATGAACGTCAGTTCTTTCTGGAATTGGTCAAAGATATCTCCAATGACCTTGATCTCACCAGCCTGAGCTACAAGATTCTCATCTTTGTCTGCCTTATGGTAGACGCTGACCGCTGCTCTCTTTTCCTGGTGGAAGGGGCAGCTGCTGGCAAGAAGAGTCTGGTCTCCAAATTCTTTGATGTGCATGCAGGAACCCCTCTGCTGCCTTGCAGCAGCACAGAGAACTCAAATGAGGTGCAGGTTCCCTGGGGCAAAGGCATCATTGGCTATGTCGGGGAGCATGGAGAAACGGTCAACATTCCTGATGCCTACCAGGTAGGACTTTGCATTGTCCCCTTCTCCCAGAGCCCCGCTGGCTTGGGAGATGAGCCTTTGGTTACTATTTGGCATCCAGGAACACGTTAATTTAGGTTCTTTACAATACAAATTTTGCTATCTAAATTCTTGAGTTTAGACTACTTAGACTGTTACAACATCTTTGATGTGTTGGTCTTTTCTTAACAGCCAGTGCTTGTGGGAAATTCATGTGTCACCCAATAACACCACATGTTTCTCTGTCAAGACACTTTGTCCTTAACACTTTGACACTTTGGCTGGTCTGGCATCCACGGCTCCCTCCTCCTGTCTTTAAAATATCAATGTGTGGTATTAGTACGTGTTTGTGAGTTGCTAGAAAAAGATGTGTGCTCCAGAATTCCAGTGTTAAGATGAGCATTTTGGTGTCTTTGATGTCTTTTGGGGACCATAATGCATTTTCGTTCTCTAATTCAATATTGGAAAGGAAACAAAGTGCCTAACTACTTCCCTGTTCCCTTCTCAGGATTAGAGTTGCACGGGTTGTAAGGTAAGGAAAAGAGAAGAGAAATGTCAGGGGGAAAATTGGTCTGTGACCCCATTTGTGCCTTCTTAGCGTCTATTTTAACTGTTTCTATTGTTGAGATTAGAAAGATTGGACAGATAGAGGGACTAGTTATCTTTAGGCTTGAATATAGCATTATCTGCAGTCAGCTTTGATAGGACTGAGCAAGTGGGTTTTTAGTTTTCAAAACAAACAAAAAATATTGATAATTAATTTAGCAACTCCAAAGCCAACAGCAGGGTAAACAAGTTAGTTTCAAGTGGAAAAGGAAACCCAACATGCTGTCATCTGGGTTTTCGGAGTCTTTCATTTTCACAGTAAGTTGAACTTGATATTAGATGCTGGATCTGAAAAACAGTTTTAATTTCTTCAGTATTTATTCACTGGATGTGATGAAACTGGATGTTATTTTTTATGAGACTTCTTCAGGGTTCATAAGAATTGAAAGTTCTCGTCCTTGATTAGGAAAGTTTTGTAGTCATCTGGTAAGTGCTTCTTCCAGTGGTCTCAGGGAGCTGCATGTTATCTAGAGTTTAGTTGCTATTGCTGAAAATAGCAAAAAGAGTGGGAAGGACAGTAAAGGTAAAATTTTATCTATTTCATCTGAAAGTTGACAATTTTACATAGAAAACTGACTAGCTTGTACTAAAGCCAAGTTTCATATTTTAATGAGATATCTGTAAACCTAACACTTTAACATTAAAGGATGTTTGTCAAAATGCCATTTTGGTTAACCTTTTATTATAGATTAAGTGCATTGTTCATCATATCTTTCTTGAAGACTTTAAGAGTTGTATGTGAAGCAACCAATGAATGTTTTTCAACAAGTGTTTATTTCTCTACAATCCTAGAAAGCTATGGGAAGAAATATAAGCATTTAATAATTCTTTTGTTTAAGATTCTATAAAAATTTTGTTACAAATTATTTTTAGATAACTAAAACAATCACAAATTTTTTTCTTTCCTATTTTTTTCCACATCCTCATCGTATGCTTGGGCTAAAAAAAAATCCCTTCCTAGTTCAGTAATACTTATTCTAGCCTGGGGTTGCAGCCTTTTCTCTTTATTGCCCTTATTTTAAAAAATCATTCCCAATTGATTTTCTTCCATTTCTATAGCTTTTATTTCTTACTGTCCTCTTTCAGGCCCTAACTTTTATTTCATACTGTCCTTTCTTTAAGAGCATAATTCTCAGCCTCCTCAACAGCTAACTTGTCTTGCTGCTGTCTGGGATTGTGGCTGTAGGTGTCATCACAGGCAGGGGAAAGCAGGTTTTCAGCAGCTGCTGCTTCCTGTGGACTCTATCCTTCCCCTGCAGAGTGGAAAGCAAAATTGCCTTTTAATATTTTTGGAAGCTGACATTGGGAAAGAGGAGTTTTTTTCTTTTCCCCCCTAGAATAGTAATGATGGCCATAAAAGGGGACTGGGTTGTTGGGAGGACTGGCAAAAGACAGGTAGGGGAATGGCACTATATGGGTGGGGAATTTACCCTTGGTTTACTTGCTTCCATTTCTATCTGGTTAGAAAGTTTCTCTTTTCTTTTTCCATTGGCTTCTTTTACGTATCTCTGTATTTTTAACTTGGTGTGGTTTTCTTCATGTTACTTATGCTACTTTTCTTTGATAAAGCTACTTTTTTTTTCTTTATTTTGATACGCCACAGTCATCAATGATGTGATGTTGGGAAAATTTCTTTATCTCCCACAGCCTCAATTTCCTCATCCATAAAATGGGGACAATAATACCTACCTAGCAAAGATTATTTTTGTTTATTTCAATAAAATGAGATATTGTGTCCAAGACCCTGAAATAATTCCTGGGACATTGCAATTACTCAGGGAATGGTAACAGTTTATGAAAATAATGATGATATCTAGTTTGCTGGTGTTCCTTTTCTCTCTCTTTACCTTATTTTCAGTTGTTTTTCTCATTATCTGGAACTGAGATTGAAGTTGGCACATTTTGACCAGCCTCATCCTTTCCATGCTCCACCTTAAATTAAATATTTTAGAACAAGCTTTACATTCAAGGAACATAAAAATATCTATCCTTCCATTCTCTACTTAAAATGTTCCTAAATGTGGTTGGTAACACCATATTCTAGCCCATCAAAAGTTCTACATTTTGTTCCTTTTAGTAACACATGCAATATAAACTTTTCATAAGGCTGTCTTACGGAAGGATGTTGCCTCCTTCCCTAGTTCTAGCATTTCTCCATCCTTTCCCTTTTCTGGTGTTACAGATTTCTCTAAATGAAAACTGACAACCTTCCAAAATGCACATTCTCTTGTCAGGATGTTTTAATTTGTACTATATATATGCAGGCATCTTGAAGTTTCTATGTAAATATGTAACCATCCTTCCTGATTTTTTGTTAACTACTGTATTTTTAAGGTTGTTTCTTGCTTGGCTTCAGATAGTGTACTTTTTTTTCAGGAGGTAAGATTTTTTTAAATCACACAGAATTTCCACATTCAATCATTTGATAATTACATTGATGATCCTCTTGGGGGTTCCTAAGATGGGCAAGGGAAAGGCATTGAAGACACAAAATTATGATGATAAGCGTGGCATTCTGGAGTTAAGGGTAGAATATTTAATAAAATGCTGAAACTGAATAGAAGTTCTGACTGCCCAAAACCCCTCAGTTTATTTTATTATTTTTCATTACTTTTCTCAATTAGGAAAAAAGTAAATTGCAAATGAAAAAAAAATTCACTTTTAGGTATCCAGTCTGGTTCATAGTGACTGCAGTTTACCTTTCCCTCAGATAGTTATAAGTTATTTAACAGCCCACTTTAATATAGTAATGAAAAAATTGCCCTCAAGAGGTTGAAAATAAGAGCATTCAAGTAACAGATGTTCTCTTTGAGATTATTCTAAGCATTCAGAATATAGTACTTTAAACATTCAAAAAAATTGTGAGGTGAATTTTTGTTAGTGTTGTTAATGATAATACAGGCGTTTGTTTGATGAGCTCGGATGTGAAAAGCAGCAGTATGTTTTGTTAGATGAACTAAGAAGAGGAAAGGGGATGACGCTGAAGGGTTACAGATGTGCCCGCCTTTCAGAAGGCCTGATCTGTTACACAACAGCTTCGTTTATTCATTAGCTCCAGTAAACATGCACAGAGACAGCCTATTATTCCCAAGGCTTTGGGTAGAGGGCCTTTGGGTATACAAAGGTGGCAGGATATGCTTCTGCTCTCCAAGGGTGTACAGTAGAGGGCCATGTATTGTTCACAAAAACTAGTACCAACCTATACAACTAAATGATGTTAGTCTTGGAGGAGTGTGGAGTCACTTTGTGACTGGGCTCATGATGAAAGACTTCATGGAGGAGATGTCATTCGAGCTATAAATAGGATTAGCTTTTCCAGTTGGAGATGGTTGTGGGGTAGGGAAAAGTGATCCAAGTCCAACAGAATGGCTTCAGCAAAGACACAGTGATGACCAAGCACAAAATATGTACAGGGGAGAGTGCGTGGTTTAATATGGCCAAAATATTGCATATGTCATATAATTATTTGCAAAAGTAAGGTGAGGACAAAAGAAGAAAGGACATTGAACACTTGGCTAAAGAGTTTGAACTTCACCAACAGTAGGCCTTAGGGAGACACTAAAAACATCTGAGCATGATCAAAGTGGTGCTTGCGTGGTAGCAGCAGCTGAATGGATTGAACAAGGAAAGGCTCAAAGTTGTGGAAATAATTAGGAGCCTACCGTGATGGTCTGGTGGAGCCATGATGAACAATTAAACTCAAGCAGGAATAGTGGGAATGTGCAGAAGGAGACAGATGGGAGGTGGCCTGTGGGTGTGGATTTGGGCAAGGAAGAAGGAAGGGCAATGATGACTCAGATTCTAAACACAGGAGTCATGAGAAAGTGTGATACCTTTATCCAGAAGAGGGAGAGAAGCTGGGTTAAGGGGAAAGATTTTAAGTAGGGCCAGCTACAAAATTTGTGGAGCCTAGGGCAAGATGATAAAGCAGGACTCTGGCTGATGTTAAATAAGTCAGTCGTCCTTCCCAAGAGTGTGTCCCCCAATTCATAGCAACCTCCACTCTGAGAGTCCTAAGGGATTGCCACCTCCAGGGTGGGGTGTTCTTAGTATCCGGATTGAGATGGGGCAAGGGGCCTCTGCTGAGTTGGCTGCCGGATGTGCCATGCTGCTACCAGCTCTGGGTGAGGAGAACCACAGCCTTGCTCTTCTCTGAGATGGCATGAGGCATGAACCTGCCCCTTTCCAGACCCTCTCCTAGACCCCACCTAAGATCAGAGTGCAATGGCAGACATGGGATGTGGGCCTCTCCCTCAACCCATGTGACTTGGTTGCTACGTCTGGTCTTAGGGCAGGAGTGAGACTGGGGAGGATGGATGGGGCTGGGACACCAGGGAGCAGGGATCAGGTGGCCAAGAACCAGTCCTGCGCAGGCAGTGGGAGGGGAGACTACATGT